TATCTTTTTTGTTAGATTTTATTTAGAAAAGAAAGTGCAACTCTCGCAGATTTTATAGAGAAACAAATAGTTTGCCATAATTTCATTATTATCCAAATACTTTTCCCATAAACTCAAATATATTGTTGAGAAAGTGACTAAATATTTTTCTGAAAATTTACGTTTTATAATCACTATGTAATTACAATGTATTTATTCTGCTTTGAAATTGTCCATGACAGGGTGGACATATTTTGCTGTTTGCATGTAAATTGTCTGCTTGCAGTTAATTTATAAAAAGTGTGGGAGCTTGACCAATATGCATTTCTAACAGCATAACATATACTTAATACAATGAATATGAAGTTCAATGGAAAATCTCAGCTTTTTGGGGGGGAAATGGGGAAGTCTCAAAGGCACCTTATGGTGATATTGACCCAGCTAGCTATAACGTTAGACTACAGTACATTTTAGGTATAGCGAACAATACAGCTAAATAGCTAGCTAAACTTAGCTAGCTTGGCTTGTTGTGGTTCTAGCAAGCCCCGTTATGGCCGAATCGATCACCAAATTGTACTGTACTGAACAACACTGCCACAGTTAAAAGATAGCTTATATTTGCTAGCTAGCTACCGATAGCAAAACAACTTACTCGTTTGTCATCTACCCTCCTGAGTCCTGGTCCATCTGGTCTAGACTGCCGCCGCTGCTTGCTGGTCTCGCAATTCTTTTTTTCGCCATCTCATCTCCTCTTCAGGGTATTCCGGCTCAAATAAATAGGGTTATGTAAAAGAATATCAAAAAATGTTTTGTCGTCCAGCTCCTCTTGGAAAGAGGAATCATCAGAAGCAGCCATTGTAGCTAATTGTTTAGTAGTCTTGGATAGACAGTGCACGGTAACATAGCTCCCGTGATCCTGTAAATTAGTACCGGCCCATTTTGAAAAGCCTACTTTCGATGGTGGGAACAAGGAAGTATGGCTCCTGTCAGGCTGTAGTCTTTACAAAGCCAGGGAAAATGAGTCAACCTAGATATCCTGCAATTTCCTGGCAGATAGGAACATCGTTGAGACAAGTCCAATAGCTGTATTGAACAAGGACAACCATATCTACTCGCATGATCGTGCAATCGGCGAAACACAAAGGCCACAATAATTGCTACAAAACATGACTCCAATGATTTTTACATCAGACAGCAGGCTCAATCAACCAATGATGTCATTGGTTGAACTCCCCTAGCGCGAACATTTTAAAATAGAGCTATAATGCATAATTATAATAAATAATAATAATATGCCATTTAGCAGACGCTTTTATCCAAAGCGACTTACAGTCATGTGTGCATACATTTTTATGCATGGGTGGTCCCGGGGATCGAACCCACTACCCTGGCGTTACAAGCGCCATGCTCTACCAATTGAGCTACAGAGGACCACATAATTGTCTGAAACACCCTCGCGTCACTCATAATTATGTAGAGAGGGCTATATTGGTCCGCTAATACAGGACTAGTAAAGGCCAAGTGCACTACTTTTGTGAGAAAAAAAAATCTGTAATATATGTTTTTATACGATTTTTCAGGGGGTTCTGCAGCACCCTCAGAACCCCAACTTCCCACGGCTATGCTATTCACTCAGTGTACTGAAAAAATGACTAAAACTGATCAAATCTTGTTGAAAAAATCTTGTTGTGCAATGACATAAATTTGTTCAATTCGGCCTATGCCTTCTCAGAGTATATGTCTAGATAGTCATTCAACCAGACCTCTATGGACCATCAACTTGTGAAACTGTGCCGAACCAATTGAAATCCTCAATCATACAGTGCCACCTAGTGGCATTTGTTAATATTGGCATCTTTACAATCGCACATATCAATTGACAGTAAAATTACAAAATCGCACATCAATGCAGATAACATTTATTTGCAAAGATAATTTGTATATTTCTTAAGCAGTACATGATCATTATAATTTTCACAATCATAATTACAGAGGCAGTCATTTGCAACAAAATATAATACACAATCACCTGGAACACATTGTGTAATGCATAAATCTTAAAACAATAAATACATAAAAACATTTTAACATGACTTATTTTGTTTCATGTATAGTTTGTGAGCTTGTTTTATTTCCCCTTTTTGCATGGAGAGCACTTGTGGAAATAGTGAGAGCAGTTTGACTCAGGGCAGAGGAGGTGGTTATTATTAATATTAACTCATTATTTTCTGGTAAACGACAACAAAACAAGTTAACAGTAATGTGGGGAAGACTAGACTGTGTAGAGTACTGACGACTTAAATAGATGGAGTACTGCCAACTCAAGTAGGATGGACGAAACAGTGTGAGAGTAAAGTGAAGTTGCAAAACTAAGTAAAGGGAATAAACTCGGCACAGAAAAAACCCGAAAATCTAACCAATAATACCTCTTCTATCATTCTTCACTCATTCATTAAACCATTCGCTTCTTTGCAACAATATAAATGAATGGTTTCATACATTATCATCTGAAGGCTGTTGTATACATTGTACATACGTTTGACAACCATATCATTATATCCTTTCTCAATAATAGTGATGCCCCCTGTTCATACAGGGAATCACATACATTTAAAAGAAACAACTTAAATATCCAATCCTTCAACATATTCATATAACTTTCTTATCTAGCAAACATCATATCAATGACTAAACACAGACAACGGGAGAGTCCTGAGAAGAGCTTTCTGTGCAAAGACAGCGCATAGAGCACAGTACAGAGAGGAGGGGAGGGAGAGAGAAACAGTGAGAGCGAGAGGGGGAGACAGAAGCGAGGGGGGGGGGGGGGGGTTGTAACAGAAGCAAGCACTTTCATTATGCCGTTTCTATCTAACATCACATTTTCCCACTTCTGCCAGCAAATTGTGTTTGCAGCCATGTTGTTGGAAGCACAATGCTTTGTTATACTGTAGATGGGTTACTAATGACGTTTGGCAGGTTGTGAAAAAAAGAGACAGCTTATTACATTGTATATCTTTGCAGAGAGACAGAAACACAGTCATCCTCAAATGAAGACATATTTGTGATATGACTGATCATCATGACAAAACATATTTTTAGGTGATATTGGCAACAGATTAATAATAAGACCTTCCAGAGGAAGCATCTCAATGTTGATGGTTTAATGTACTGTTTAGTCTGTGGTTTGAGCAAAGGCGAAGTTTGGGGCGGAGGAGAGGGAGGTCATATGGGTTACACTGCACTTTTACCAGGTCTTCACTCATCGGTCACTATATAAGCAAAAGGAAAGCATACATACATTGAGGAAGAAAAAAAGTCTGAAAATATGCTGGTGCTTTTTAACACAACACTGCTTATAACAGGTCCTGAGAAGGATCATTAGGATCTATTGATCCTTCTCAAGACATCTGTGATGACTGTCAACCATCTCCATTTCTGTTTCACCTTGATAAAATCATAATTCAGACAGCAAGAGTAGTTGGTTGGTTGGCTACATCCTAGGTGTCTCATGTGCAGTAGCTAGCTGTCCCAAAGCACATGGCACTGGTTGATATGTAGAACTGCTCATGACATCGTCCCTCTGCCTTCATTGGTTGGACATACCTGCATGTCATTTTCTTAGTTGTGCTAACTAACATGAACACTTTTGTCATTTAACAGGATTTGCGCTGCACAAAAACACATGTAAAAGACAAAAACAAATAAATGTTAAACGCTTGAATGTTTAAACCCTTTCCAAACAAACTTCTTTAAACTAAGCATTTACGGCTAGGTTGGAGTTGCTGAGGGATGGTTGGAGGGTTGAACTAGCCAACTCGACCCAACAGCTAAAAGTGACAGCTCTCATCTGATTGTCAAGGTTCAGGCCTAGATTTGTGCTTTTTGAGGAGGGTTTATGCAGCAGCAGGTGAAATTACTGAGTACATTGAACATCTCATTTTCAGAGCCATGGAAGATTCTAGCAGACAAGGGGTTTCTTATGGAGGTTTCTTCTCGTCACAGTGTATGAGAAAGCAGCCATGTTTTCTTCCACAGGATGCACCAGAGCGTCGGCTGGGTAGAGACATCCCCTTCTCATGACACAACCCAACCTGAGTTTGTTAGCCACCAACAACTGCTCTGAAATATGACACGTTTTCATGAACCGCTCTCCCCATTCAGTGAGGCATAGGGAAGGGAGGGGAAAGGGCAACTTGCAGAGATTTTGCTGCCCTGTTCCTGTCATTTGTGCTCTGGCCAATACACACACAATGCTGCAATATACACTGATTGTACAAAATATTAGGAACACCTGCTCTTTCCATGACAGACTGACCAGGTGAATCCAGGTGAAAGCTATGATCCCTTATTGATGACACCTGTTAAATCCATTTCATTCAGTGTAGATGAAGGGGAGGACACAGGTTTAAGAAGGATCTTTAAGCCTTGAGACATGGATTATGTATGTGTGCCATTCAGAAGGTGAATGGGCAAGACAAAATAGTGCCTTTGAACGGGGTATGGTAGCAGGTGCCAGGCACACCAGTTTGAGTGTGTAAAGAACTGCAACGCTGCTGGGTTTTTCACGCTCAACAGTTTCCCGTGTGTATCAACAATTGGTCCACCAGCCAAAGGACATCCATCCAACTTGACACAACTGTGGGAAGCATTGGAGTCAACATGGGCCAGCATCCCTGTGGAACGCTTTCGACATATTGTAGAGTCCATGCCCCGACGAAATGAGGCTGTTCTGAGGGCAAAAGGGGGTACAACTCAATATTAGGAAGGTGTTCCTAATGTTTTGTACACTCAGTGTATATAGACTCATTCAACGAGTGTGTTTACACAGCGTCTGCGATGGAAGCCGGGCCTTTTTGGTCTGGTTTTGATAGCGGTGTGTGTGTGTGTGTGTGTGTACGTTTACCGCGCTAGTTAGATAGCAGAGGAAATGTTTGCTTTGCGCTTGCGTTGGCTGCATCCGTCTTAGCTCAGCAGTGTCTCTCTGGGCTGCTGGGATGATGGGGCGGGGCAGGACTTCCTCAGTCCTGCTGTAGCGTATCCCTCCAATTGAAGCTGTGATTGGGCCCGTGGGTTAATGGAAGGATGGGTGGGTCCACCAGCTGCCACACCCCTGTCTCCCCCATCTCCTCAGCCGCACAGAAACCTAGGTAAGGAATCTATACAAGGAGACAAGGAGAGATGGATGTCTATTGAGGGACAAACTGGTGTCATTAGAGAAGTGTGTGTGTGGGGGGGGGGGGGGGGGGGGAGAGACAGAGAGAGAAAGGAGGCAGAGAGAAAGGGATAAGGAGGTAGAAAACGAGAGATACTTTAGAAGGGAGAGAGAGAAAGAAAGCGAGATGGAAAGCAAGACAGAGAAAGAGATAGCAGATCAAGAGCGAGAGAGACGTGCTGAAGGAAGCATGCTGACCTTCCTGACCACTTGTACAAAGTCCTTGGCGTTCTGTGGGCTGAGTCCCTGCATCTGGCGAGTACATGCCTCCAGGGAGGAAGCATGGGCCACGATCAGCACAGTGTTTCCTGTGTGAGACCAGAGGGAGACCACAGAGGTTACATACGTTTCCATTTTTAGTCATTTAGCAGACGCTCTTATCCAGAGCGACTTACAAGAGCAATTAGGGTTAAGTGCCTTGCTCAAGGGCACATCAACAGGTTTTTCACCTAGTAGGCTCGGGGATTCGAACCTTTCAGTTACTGGTCCAACGCTCTTAACCGCTAGGCTACCTACCACACATAACATGACTTACTGTACAGTACATATGGGCTTATACACGCAAACTCACAAATACCATCACTTACAGTACATGGACCAGTGGAGGCTTCTCAGAGGAGGAAGGGAAGGACATAGATGAGAAATAGATAAAACTATACTAAATATATTCATGTCACCAAGTACCTGATTAAAACAAACTGTTTTGCAATGAAGGTCTACAGTAGTCTCAACAGCATCCTCTAGGGTAGCACCACAGTGTAGCCGGACGACAGCTATTTTCCATCCTCCTCTGGCTACATTGACTTCAATACAAAACCTAGTAGGCTCATGCTCCTCAACTCCTTCCATAGACCTACATGGTAATTATGACGACTTTCGGAGCACGTCCTCCAACAAATCAAAGCTTTTGCAGTATGAACTGACATGTTGTCCATCCAATCAAAGAATCAGAGAATTAACCTAGTACTACGCATGTGTGATTTAGAAGCTTGGTGAGTGGTGACATTGTTGGATAGATTGAGATTGGCATAGTGAATAGTGATAGCTAGTTAAGCATTTTTTGGATATTATTCAATTCAAATTAGTTTCTTCAAACTACAGGAGACGAAGGAGGTAGATTATATATTGTATTCTTGGTTTTATAACTTTATTTTCGTGTTGTGTTAGTTCCATTTATTAAACATTTTCCTGCTACTTCTTTGATGCCGAGATCAATTCAGAATGATTTGATAGCTTCCATCGCATCATCCATTAAAAGTGAGACTAAAAGAAAGGTTGACGCAGCGCATTTTGTCACATGGCAAATGGATGAAACCACAGACATCAGTTGTCGCTCGCAGGTCCCCTCCTGTTCCCTGATTAAGAGAGGATGACCACTCCTCTACCAGTGTCAACTCTCTCCTGATATGAACTGAAGCCATGTCTCTTGTGCCCTCTCATCCACTGGTGCATTGAATGTTTCCTCTCCAAGCACTGTGATTAAGCCTGTCAATTTTCTCTCATTACTGTATGTAGACTCAATCACATTCAAACACAAATCACATTATTACACATCAATCTGATTTTTATCCTTGCTTGGATTAACTAATTCTTAGCTCTTTTGTCCTGCACTGAAGCCTTTGAACACCTCAACTCATACCCACATTCAATCACTGCTGTGATCCCTTCCCAACACTAAGTAGCCCTCATTCCCATTCCCCATAATATTTCATTATAAAATGTCTTTATTAAATGTTTTAGGTTAAAATAATTTGCCTTTGGCGATTTTTGAAACACACCGTCGTCTCCGTGCCTATACCGTGGTTCTCCTATCCTCCTCAATTTTTCAAGTTACCAGCCTCCACTGATATGGACCTGCACACGCTAACTCACAGAGTTTAGGAGCCAATCAGCACTTTCGAGGGGATCATCCTGAGCAATTAGTTGCACAGATTCACTAATTTTGACCACATAATGAGTAGTTGTAGATCAGATGATTTGTAGATCAGGGATTCTGCACAGAGCCTTGCTCAGGCCCATCCTCTGGAACACTCTGAATATGTAGCATAGTGTTACTTCACAGAGACTGTCTGGTCTGCTTTGGTCCATCTTACCCAGGTTTTTGCACTCTGTCAGAATCTCCTTGGTGACCTGGAAGCTCCGGCTGATGTAGGTGTCATAGGACTCTGACACGCCAAGCTTGCTGATGGGAATATGAGGTCTGGAGGAGAAGGAGAGAAGAATCACACTGAGCCATGTCCTCTGTAGATCAGTTGGTAGAGCATGACGCTTGCAACGCCAGGATAGTGGGTTCAATTCCCGGGACCACCATACGTAAAATGTATGCAAGCATTACTGTAAGTCGCTTTGGATAAAAGCGTCTGCTAAATGAAATATTCAGAAAATCCTTATAGTGGCACTTAACATTTTTATTGCTGACCTGAAACAAACTATCCTGGCTCAGACAGGCTATTTCCTTTTTACAATGTCTTTTCACCTCAACAGCGATGTTTCAGTGACTTTGGTGGATAAGGAACCAGCCTTGGCTCGGCTCGGCTCAGTAGTGTGAAAGGGGTAGAAGTGTATCTTTCACCTCCAGCCTAGGACTGTATGTGTGTGTGTAAGTTGGTGGTATTGATATTTGGCAGTCTTGGCTACGTACATAGGCTTATGGTACGTGGCCTTCAGATTGCAGGCCTGCGTAAGAGTAAAGCAAAAAAAATGGCAAGGAACTGCTCTGTTTCAGCCGTTATGGGGAGCCTAGATGTGTGGAGGAGAAGGCACTTTTTGTTTCCTTAAGTGTCCTTGCATCAACGACCTTTGAAATGTTTGAATCCTTTATGATGTCATGTTATTTGTGGGTTCAAATAAAGTATTTAAAGTGTGGGTGTGTGTGTGTAGGTTGTGAGGTACTGTATTCAGACTAGGTGTACTGCACCTGTAGGTTGTGTCCACACTCAGGCTAGCAGCGGCCATGTCAGTGGGAGGGATCCAGGCAGGGAGAGCGGTGCCAGACACCCACTTGGTCCACTCAAACAGACCAGGCTCTATACGGATCTTAGTCTTCCCCTCCTGCTGTAGACCTGAGGAATATAATATAATACAGTAGAATGGAATAGAATAAAATAGAATACAATAGAATAGAATAAATTGGAATAGAATAGTTTATTGTACTCCGAGCTGATGATTGTGGTTGATGGTGATGATATTGTTCAGGCCATACCTCTGAGGATGTTGTGGGCAGTCTGGACACAGCGCAGCGAGGGAGAACAGTACACAAAGTCTATCACCGTGTGGCTCTCCAACAGGGCTTCGCCCACAAGGCGGGCTTGAGTGGAGCCGAACACTGTGATTGGACAGTCTTTGTCGTAGTCCCGGAAGCCTCCACCTCTCGTTGGCAAACTAGACGGCATGTTGAGGTTGGAGCGAACATATCGGCCTAGAGAGTTATGAACGCAAAAGAGGAGGCAGACTGATTATCATAATACAGTATGTACATTAGTACTACAGTAAAGCATTTCTACTATCCAATACATTACATTTCCCCCTATATCCTCTCTTCTACTGACCTTTAGCATCGAAGCACTGAGTGATCCAGTGTTTCCCAAACACCACATCCATCCTCTCACCATGGCGACACACAAACAGACTCCTCTTGGGAAGACACGACTGAGTGGTGGGCCTCAGCATCTGGAGAACACAGTTTCATTACACAGCTAAGACACCATTCATACACCATTGATACACTATTAATACCCATTATAAAGTACTATTATAACTATTATTCAATCATGTCTGTACATAAACATTTGAATTCTTATTCAAAGTAGAATAAGCAAGGTTGTACAGCCTTTAGTAACCTCAAAAATGCATTCTGAAAATGTTTTTAAAAAACAACTATATTGCAAAAATGTGTTCAATTTTGTGACAAATCATTCAGTGTTACACGACTACCTGGACAGGTGGACACAGGACAGTGAGGCTGGATGGATCTCCCGGGTCATCAAGAAAACGTCTGTCCAGCTGTCCATCAAATAACAGGCCGCCCACTGCACCCCCAGCGTTGGACGGGGAGGCGGGGTTGCTGAAAGAGTGAGATCTGGGGAACAGACATACAGATTCAGGAGATGAACTTGAAGGAACCTAAAACATATCAAAAGTAACAACGCTGTGTTAAATCACTACGTTTGGGAGTAGCAAAACAGTGAGCAGAAAGGGGATAACTCTACTGCATTACAAACTCACTTCTATTACAGAATCACATCCATAGCAAATCTCTACCCATTGAGTATGAAGCCTTCCTCTGCTTACCCATGGAAGACCCAGGTGTCACACTCATCTGCCCGGCTGACATAGTTCTCAGGCAGCAGTCCAGGTAGCCCCGTGCCCAGAGACGTGCCATAGACCCAGCCTTCGCTGGCACTACCCTGCTCCACGGGGGTCATGAAGATAAAGTCCCCAGGCGCCAGCTCCAGCTCGTCCTCGTTCTGAGGCGCGTATGGGTACATCACACGCAGCGTCTGGAGGGTGGGGGGGGGGTGGTGGTGATTGGGGTTAGAGGTCAGTGATCAAACTGGTCACCAATCAGAGAGCAGGGTTCAATTCTGAATGTATTTAAATTGTATTAAAAATTGCAACACAATTTACAGTAAAACAATAGAACTAAAACAGACTAAAATGAAAGAGATGTAAAAAGGTAAACAAGATATCAGTAATAAAGACAAAAAAAAAGAGATGAATAACACATAGGCCACAACCAGGTCAGAGTCAGGCAGACGAGACCTTGTTGTGTGATGGGGGGGGGGGGGGGGGGGGGGGGGGGGGGGGGGGGGGGGGCTGGTGTACCTCGTGGTTGGCAAATCGGATGTCCCGGGAGAAGAGCACGGCCAGCCAATCGCAGCCCAATGATATGTCCACTCCCTTGGCCAGCTTCTCCAAGGCAGCCAGGTGATTGGTCTGGAAGTGGTAGGCCAGGGTCACATGGAGCTGCTTCTTATGGGGCTCCACGTGCACATCTGAGTTACGGAGGGAGAGAGACAGGAGCATTATAGATACCGTTTACATATTTACAGCTATATCGATAAATGGAGAGAGACATTACAGAGACATCTGAGCACAGAGGAAGAGACATGAAGGAGCACTAAATACACTGTGTTGCTGAAATGCTCTCATTTTATAAATTATAAACTTGATATCCACTATAAAAAGCATCTAGACACCTCCCATTTCTTTTAGAGTAACATTTTCGTTTTCAACAACGGAGATTTGTATAAACCTTGCTGTCTGTCTCTGACATTTGCAACATTATTTCAATATTCAAATTTGATCTCCAGCTGTCCCATAGTAATGAACGTGTCGGGGTCGGGAGTCGGGACGAGACAGAGACGCAGGCAGCTTTTATCAGCCAGTCAAAAACATGAATCAGAATAGTTTTTATGGATATATACAAAGAACTATCAATAGAAAACAGGTAAAACGAAATGCAGCTAGTTCGCCGTCTTTCCAGCTTCAGTTTGAAGTGATTGTGTTAGCTGGGTTGTTGGCTAGCTCCTGATGAGAGAGCACATTGTCTAGGTGAAATCGCGCATCATTAGCTCATTGTTATGGATGTATCCAAATAAATATCACTAGAAAACAGCTTAAACAAATGCAAATGCAGCTACTTGCTGCACTGTTTGATGTGACTGTAACGTAGCAGTAGTTGGCTAGCTACCAAGCAAGGGATAAGAACGTTGCCAGCCAGAATGGCAATGGAACATTTAGAAAGAACGACTGGGTCGCGTCTCTGGCAACCGAACCGATAGAACTAACGACCAGCCGGCTTGGGAAGCAACCCTAGATTTATGTCGGGACTATATCTTGTGGAAGGGTGAAACAATATGAATAAATTAATCAAAATACCGTTTTCATTATTTGAATATGTTGGTAACCCGTTGTATAAAGGTGATAATGCCCTCGAAGCCGGTGTTTGGAGGATACAGTTGAAGTCGGAAGTTTACATACACTTAGGTTGGAGTCAGTAAAACTTGTTTTTCAACCACTCCAAAAAATGTCTTTTTAACAAACTATAGTTTTGGCAAGTCGGTTAGGATATCTACTTTGTACATGACACAAGTAATTTTCCCAACAATTGTTTACAGGCAGATTATTTCACTTATAATTCACTGTATCACAATTCCAGTGGGTCAGAAGTTTACATACACTAAGTTGACTGTGCCTTTAAAGAGCTTGGAAAATTCCAGAAAATGATGTCATGGCTTTAGAAGCTTCTGACATCATTTGAGTCAATTGGAGGTGTACCTGTGGATGTATTTCAAGGCCTACCTTCAAACTCAATGCCTATTTGCTTGACATCATGGGAAAATCAAAAGAAATCAGCCAAGACCTCATAAAAATAATTGTAGACCTCCACAGGTCTGGTTCATCCTTGGGAGCAATTTCCAAACGCCTGAAGGTACCACGTTCATCTGTACAAACAATAGTACGCAAGTATAAACACCATGGGACCACGCAGCCGTCATACCACTCAGGAAGGAGAAGCGTTCTGTCTCCTAAAGATTCATGTACTTTGGTGCGAAAAGTGCAAATCAATCCCAGAACAACAGCAAAGGGCCTTGTGAAGATGCTGGAGGAAACAAGTACAAAAGTATCTATATCCACAGTAAAACGAGTCCTATATCGACATAACCTGAAAGGCCGCTCAGCAAGGAAGAAGCCACTGCTCCAAAACCGCCATAAAAAAGCTAGACTACGGTTTGCAACTGCACATGGGGACAAAGATCGTACTTTTTGGAGAAATGTCCTCTGGTCTGATGAAACAAAAATATAACGGTTTGTTTGGTGGAAAAAGGGGAAGGCTTGCAAGCCGAAGAACACCATCCCAACCGTGAAGCACGGGGGTGGCAGCATCATGCTGTGGGGGTGCTTTGCTGCCACCCCCGTGCTTCACGGTTGGGATGGTGTTGTTCGGCTTGCAAGCCTTCCCCGTTTGGGTGCACTTCACAAAATAATGTGGATATATTGAAACAACATCTCAAGACATCAGTCAGGAAGTTAAAGCTTGGTCACAAATGGGTCTTCCGAATGGACAATAGCCCCAAGCATACTTCCAAAGTTGTGGAAAAATGGCTTAAGGACAACAAAGTCAAGGTATTGGAGTGGCCATCACAAAGCCCTGACCTCAATCCTATAGAAAATGTGTGGGCTGAGCTGAAAAAGCGTGTGCGAGCAAGGAGGCCTACAAACCTGACTCAGTTACACCAGCTCTGTCAGGAGGAATGGGCCAAAATTCACACAACTTATTGTGGGAAGCTTGTGGAAGGCTACCCAAAATGTTTGACCCAAGTTAAACAATTTAAAGGCGATGCTGCCAAATACTAATTGAGTGTATGTAAACTTCTGACCCACTGGGAATGTGATGAAATAAATAAAAGCTGAAATAAATCACTCTACTATTATTCTGACATTTCACATTCTTAAAATAAAGTGGTGATGCTAACTGACCTAAGACAGGGAATTTTTACTAGGAATAAATGTCAGGAATTGTGAAAAATGTATTTAAATGTATTTGGCTAAGGTATATGTAAACTTCCGACTTCAACTGTATATTGGCACGGTTTGCCAGCCCTCGACGAACAGCACCCTTGCCAATATATCTTCCAAACACCGGCTTCTCTGACATTATCACTTATGTATTATGTATTGTCCAATATATAAGTCCAATATACCTGCTTTCGTAGCCGCCTCCGTAGCGAAGTCAGCGGCAAAGTCCTTCAGTACTTCTGCCACCTGCTCCTCCACAAAGAGGCCTATGAAGTTGGAGGAGGTGTAGAGCTCCAGGGGGAGAGGGTTAGGGAAACGACCCCTCCATGACCCCACAGTAGCCTGTAGGGCCTCACTCAGGGCCTCCACCTTACCGTCCGCACACTGGAGAGAGAGGGTGACTGAGTGAGTTACATGTACAGTCTAGTACAGACACAGAGACACAACTCTGCACACAGTGATGCATAACACAGAGATTGCACAGATACACAGAGCGACGACAGCCGAGTCAAACCCAGAGAGCAGCATATACATGCACCATGGCACATTACACAGTGAAACAATGCCAAGAATCAAGCTCAAAGAAACCCAGTAAAGACGTGCAGTCACAGCCTGTACTGACGACAAACAGTCTCACGGTTTGTCCTGAAACACAGACAAACAAGGGCAGTACTCACCATGAAGAACTGGCAGAGGGTGATGTGAGGGAAGATGTTGTGGGCCTTGTTCTTGCCGCAGGTGACCCGTGACTGCTGCCAGAAGGTGCTGAGCTGGTGGAGCAGGGGGCCGCTGGGGCGCAGGTACAATACGTACTCCCTGGGGAGAGGGTCGTCCAGAAATGGGTCGTCCACATGAGAGAACAACCTGGGGCGAGGAGAAGGAGAGGAGGGAGGGGGGATGGAGGGAGGGTCAGTACACAGGGCCCGTTTTCAAAGAGTCTCAGAGTAGGAGTACTGATTTGAGATCAGTCTTGCCTTTCAGATCATAACGAATATGACTATATGGACGAGCGTGGGGGACCCAATCCTAGATCAGCCTTCCTACACAAAGACGCTTTTTGAATATGAGCCTAGGGAACTGGATGTGGGCTACACTCTCAACCAACATGAGTCATGTCTTAATAATAAAGTGTCTCTGTCAAAATAGTATTTGACTTGACCCTACAGTATTTTCCATTACACTACAGTATATTCATTCATATAAAAAAAAAAAGATGTCTTATTTTTCCATTTTATAAAGCGGTAATGTGCAATAAAAAGGGTGTGGGGTGAGTGAGTGGTGCATGTTTGTTCCACCACCAGCAGATGGAAGCAGTGATGCAGTTACAGAGATGTTCTCATACAGTCTATGGACGGATGTCCTTAATGTGATCCACAGTCAGCCACTCAGTTACATGTAAACCTGTTAGGCCGTAATGATTACCACCACATCTAACCAGGATTTCGCTATTAAGTCAGGAAGGAGTAAGTAAGGGTGTGTGTGTGTGTGTGTTTTCAATACCCACCAATCACAAGCTGCCTGCACATTTCTGCCTCCTGTAGACACCAGAGCTTTTAGCCTGCAGAGAGAGAGGAAGACAGCGAGACAGAGACAGACAGAGAGAGAGGGAGAGAGAGAGATCAGCAGTCTCAAAATCAATAGTGTATTTTCCGGAGGATGTTTTATTGGAACTTAGTTTATTGGAACTTGTTCAAGAGTTTGTAGTATTTCCATGTATCCCTGTACCACAGTGAAAAAAAGTGTGCAGGCCTTGCAGTAGGTACAGCTGTAGTTTGCATTTCACATGGCTCTGAATGTCATGATACAGTACAACCATTTCTGTTTATCTGCTTTGGAGAGATATTCAAGTAAGATGGTGTGAAAATAGGGCTTATTAAGGGTTAAATATTAACCAATCAAATGCCAGATGCAAATTAAATGACTAAACACACGCTAGTGTTCATTCTTATCACACGGTCCGGAGGGAGGAGATATCACACGCTAGTTCCTCTTACACTTTAGTAGTCATTAAGAAGACATTATGGCCACTGACCATCTTTAGATCAGCAGAGCATAGCCACAGTCATCATGTCACACAGTTGGAGTGGATGATATTCGGTCAACTGTAATCAATAGCTCCTTGCACAACTCTTAACAAACAGGCTTCAATAACACACTTAGGTTTCCATGCAAGATTGAGCGGGTAAGATAGCTATTGCATTTGACAACATGTTTATTTGTGTCTTTATGGACAATGTGTATCCATGTGTGAGAGAGAGAAGAGTTGTGCGCAGTGAGAGTGTTGGCAGCAGCTGCAGATATATTTTTCCATATTCATTAATTAATTTCAACATGTGAAGAAAATGCAAATGAGTCACTGCTGGGAAATTAAAAAAATCATATGCTAAAACTAAAGTGGGGGGAAAGTCACTGAGGTCAAACACACGCACTATGTTTACCACATGATCGATTAAAGGGGAATAGAAACATTACCTACATTTGATGCCATCTAATCTCTGAAGCTACGATATATAGAGCTAGCTAACTGTGCCATTTTCCCAGAGCCAGTCAGCTAACATCTATGGGCTTTTTTAATCTGAGTGAGAAAGAGCTGATGACATTACCGTTAATGAGAGCTTCTCTGATTATAATTAGTGTCTTTTTATAAAACATCACATGTTCACATTCACAGTAACTCTGTAGGGACTAGAATACCAGCTATGATGATCAGAGAGGCTGTGCCAGGCAGGGCCAGCAGCCACATAACAACTCAGAGGTCTATATATTAACCCATTATACAAACTGACAACTGGACTACAACTCAGAGAGGAGGACTTCATAACCCAGAATCCCCACTGACTACGGCACTGGGGGATGGTAATTATACGTGAACTGTACCAGTGGATTGATCCACACATCAGCCACATGGATAGAGTTAAGTGGATGGACTCTTATTGACTCCCTCTCTCAGTGTGACAGTGTTCTATGTCACAGCATTTCACACCCACCTCAGTCAGCATGTCCTCAATGTGTTGTTTGTACCTGTGAATGATCAATATTCACACACACGGACACCTGCACGCACGAATAAACACTGCAAGTGAATAACACAGATGGAAACTTTTACACACCGTCACACACGTACACAACACCACACTGTCTCTCTGACTCGTGCTGAGAATAGCAAAAGCCCTAGTTTACTTCAGGTGACATTACAAAACCATTTGTTTGAGAGGGCAATTGACTGATTCCTTTTCCTGGTTCTTCTCAAGGTTACTTCATTTCCTGCATCTCATTCACTGGTACAACAGGCTACTTACTCAAGTTGTATTTGTCGCATGCACAATAACAGTGAAATGTTTAACTTGCAAGCCCTTCCAACAGTGCAGTATTCAATATCAAAATAGTATTAAAAAAGAACAAAAAGAACAGGATGATGTAAGCTATATACAGGGTCAGTGCCAGTACCACATTTACAATGTGCATACTGGAGTAGTTGAGGTAGATACAATACCTTCATAAAGTATTCATACCCCTTGACTTATTCCACATTTAGTTGTGTTACAGTCTGAATTCAAAATGGATTAAATAGATTTGTTTCCACTAACCCATCTACCCACAATAACCCATAATGACAAACATTATGGGTTATTGTCCTACACTGGAGTTGCTTACCAACACTGTCTTCTTGGTAAGCAACTCCAGTGTAGATTTGCCCTTGTGTTTTAGGTTATTGTCCTGCTGAAAGGTGAATTAATCTCCCAGTGTCTGGTGGAAAGCACACTGAACCAGGTTTTCCTCTAGGATTTTGCCTGTGCTTAGCGCCATTCCATTCATTTTTTTATCCTGAAAAACTCCTTTGTCCATAACGATTACAAGCATACCCATGACATGATGCAGCCACCACTATGCTTGAACATATGGAGAGTGGTACTAAGCAATGTGTTGTATTGGATTTGCTTTTTTGCGAGGCATTTGGAAAACCTCCCTGGTCTTTGTGGTTGAATCTGTGTTTGAAATGCACTGCTCGACTGAGGGATAATTGTATGTGTGGGGTACAAAGATGATGTAGTCATACAAAAATCACATTAAGCACTATTATTGCATACAGAGCGAGTCCATGCAACTTATGTGACTTGTTAAGCACATTTTACTCCTGAACTTATTTAGGCTTGCCGTAACAAGGGGTTGAATACTTATTGACTCAAGACATTTCAGCATCTAATTTTTTATAAATGTGTAAACATTTCGGAAAACATAATTCCCCTTTGACATTAGGGTGTATTGTGTGTAGGCCAGTGACAAAATCTCAATTTAATCCATTTTAAAATCAGGCTATAACACAACAAAATGTGGAAAAAAGGGTGTGAATACTTTCTGAAGGCAATGTATGTACATGTAGGCAGGGATTAGGAGAAAGTGACTAGTAGCAGGATAAATAATAATAATCAATATAGCAGCAACATAAGTGGTGGGTGGGTGTGTGCATGGTGGTGAGTGTTTGTGTGTGGGTATGGGACTTTGTGTGTGGGTATGGGACTTTGTGTGTGGGTGTAGTGTGTGTGCAAGAGTGTCAGTGTAGGCGTGTGCGAGTGTGTGGGTAGAGACTGAGTGTGCATATAGTCAGTCATTGCATATGGTCCTTGGTGGGGGTGGGAGGCTATTGTCTATCTGTTTAAAGTCTCATTGCTTATGGGTAGAAGCTGTTTTGGAGCATGTTGTTCCGAGACCTGATACTCCGCTACCGCCTTCCGGACGGAAACAGAGAGAAGTCTATGGCAGGGGTGGCTGGAGTGTTTGGCAATTTTTCAGCCCTTCCACAGACACCGCTTGGTGTATACAGTATGTTCTGAGGATGATTCAGTGTGTAGACTAGACACTTCATAAAGAGGTGGAAGCAGATAAGTGTAAAAGACAAAATGTATTATTTCATTTTCGTTAGCAGTATAGAAACTATCCAAGAGACTAGCAACCAACCAACCACCGTGCTTATGACTATACTCACTGTGTGTATGTCTTGGCTCACCACCATCTGTGTGTGAATGATTCATAATGGAAACAGAGAGTCTGCATCCCAAATGGACCCCTTTTCCATTTATAGTGCACTAGTGTTGACCAGGGTCAAAAGCAATGCACTATACAGGGAATCAGGTGCCATTTGGGATACATCCAAAGACTCCACCACCACCACTATGTGACCAGACCTCTCGGAGTGAGACGCTAACAGTGAATGTAGTGCCACTCTGGTGTTCACACTCGGTGAGCTATTTTTACACTAGCTAGCTATCCCCACAGAGAGAGAGCCAGGCAGGCAGGGCCCTAGACACGGCAAAGCAAAGCCTAGCCCACAGGGCAGTGTGCCTGCCTGCCCTGGCTGCTGCTGCCGCAGTGCATGCTGGGAGGAGAAAGCCCTGGTTACCACACCAGATGGCTCATACAGTCATGTAGAGAAAACACAAAAAGGTAATTTCCATGTAAAATGACCCATGAGCACAAACATATGAAGGTCATAGGAGCATGTAAAACCGGGTGTGAAATTAAAGCTAAGAGTCTATATTTTTGAGAAAATAAGGCATATATACATTTTTAAAACATTTTTTCTTTGGAATTTATTTTTGGATTTTGGATTTCTTGTCAAACAGATGGAAAAGGGGTCTTAGAAACATCTACCAGAAAAAGTCTTAAAAAGGTATTACAAATACATCAAAACACAAGAATGTTGAAGATCCAAAAAATATTAAGGGGTTCACAGCGACATGGTCAAATAACTTCAATATAGATTGGTAACTTATTTTCTTGGCGGTGTAGAGAATTGTTAAGCCATTTTCCTGCTATTCTAGAAATTTCTCCACAGAGCTGAGAGAAAATGTTAATTTTAAAACAAATTACAGTGGCTTGCGAAAGTATTCACCCCCCTTGGCATTTTTCCTATTTTGTTGCCTTAAAACCTGGAATTAAAATAGATTTTTGGGGGGGTTGTATCATTTGATTTACACAACATGCCTACCACTTTCAAGACGCAAAATATTTTTGGGTGAAACAAACAAGAAATAAGACAAAACTTGAGCGTCCATAACTATTATGGTGGTCATGGGGCAATGAAATTTGGTATGTAAACCTTATGTACAGTCGTGGTCAAAAGTTTTGAGAATGACACAAATATTAATTTTCACAAAGTCTGCTGCCTCAGTTATGATGGCAATTTGCATATACTCCAGAAAGTTATGAAGAGTGATCAGATGAATTGCAATTAATTGCAAAGTCCCTCTTTGCCATGAAAATGAACTGAATCCCAAAAAAACATTTCCACTGCATTTCAGCCCTGCTACAAAAGGACCAGCTGACATCATGTAAGTGATTCTCTCGTTAACACAGGTGAGAGTGTTGACGAGGACAAGGCTGGAGATCACTCTGTCATGCTGATTGAGTTAGAATAACAGACTGGAAGCTTTGAAAGGAGGGTGGTGCTTGAAATCATTGTTCTTCCTCTGTTAACCATGGTTACCTGCAAGGAAACACGTGCCGTTATCATTGCTTTGCACGAAAAAGGGCTTCACAGGCAAGGATATTGCTACTAG